GGACGCCCCGCGCGTAGGCGAGGCTTTACTGTAGCGTGCGTGGTTTCTTCCCCTCCTTACTGTTCCTCTTTGTCTATTCCTCGCCTTTCCTCTCGATGCCCTTTCTTCTCTTTCGTCCGCTTGCACTCAAGAGCTATTTTTCTCCCCTTTCATTTGTCACCTCTCTCTGCTTCTTTTCCGAACCACTCAAGAATACTTTTTCTCTCCTCCTCTCGTTGCCCCTCTCTGCTCCCTTTCCGCACCCTTACCACTTTCTTCGTCGTTTCTCTCCTTTGCCTTGTTGTCTTCGTTCGTGGGCGTCATGATGATGAAGGTCGTATGTGGTTATGGCAGTCTTCCTGCCACGCCCAAGGGCGTGGCTGGATTTTCCTTGCGTCCGCGTCCAGGTTCGGGCCCTCCTTGCTAATTTGAAAACGGAAAAAATCCTGCCCGCCTCCCCGGAGGGCCGGCCTGGAGGTGAACGCGAGGGACTTTGGGCGCTGTCCGCTGTGGGCGATAGCGCTAACCTCTGGTGCTAGCGCAAAAAAAATATTTTTCCTGACTTGCCTGTGAATAGGAACCGGGCTGATGCTCCCCAGAATGGAAAATCTTTTTTATGATTTCCTTAGTTTTTATGATTTCTTCTTTTATTTTTGTCTTGCTCATTAGGGAATCGATAGCTCTCTGTCCCAGAGTTTTCAGGGTGGGTGAAGCTCGCCGAGTGTCTTCCGAAGAGGTCTGGGAGGGGGTGCTCGAAGTCAGGGAGGTAGCGGGGTTCGCACCTGTGGGCTGATTCAACGCTCTGCGAGCGGCTTGGGCATATGTTGCCGCCATGGCTGAATCCGAGACCTGTGGAGCTTTACCTGCAGTGTGGGTTGTCCTTTACGGTGGGGAAATCTGTGGCGGTTTGCCTCCCCGTTCAGGGATTGATTTGGGCCCAGCGCTGTTTGCTGGGCAGATCCAGCTGCCGGAGGATGTGGGATCCTGATCGGAAGATGGTTGAAGGAGTCTAGAGCCTGATCGGTTTCTCAAGTGGGTAGTGGTTCATTACCTCCTTGTGAGGGATAGGGATTCCAGACCTAGTCCGATATAGACTGTTCTTACAAATAATGATAAGAGCTCTTTAAAATTAGACATGCAATATGTCTTTTCGGCAATTGTGCCCTCGTAAAAGGGGGCAAAGATGAAGTGTAGTGAATGGTGACGAGAATTGAAAAGGCTAAAGCAAATATTTGAATACCGAAAATAGTGCTTAAATGAAAAATGATGAATACTGAATAATTGTTAATAATGTTGAAAGAAATCAATAATCTAAATTTCTTCCGCTTCCGGATCTGGTTTCCTTGTTGTTGGTGTGTTCGTTGGGCGAGGGGTGGGAAACTGGCAGGGGGGGGGGGGGGGGGGGGGGGGGGGGGGGGGGGGGGGGGGGGGGGGGGGGGGGGGGGGGGGGGGGGGGGGGGGGATGTGTCGGGGGAAGTGATAGGGGAGCGGGGGGGGGATTTGATTAGAAAGCGGAGGGGCCGGGCTAGGGTGTTGGATTGAGCCTGGAGGGTAGGGACCGTCACTGCTCAGGAATGTGACTGTCGAGAATGGCGGGCGGAAAGGCAGATCTGGGTCGGTTCGCGGAGTGCTGTTGGTAGTCTGTACTTCCTCTTCGTGCTGTGTTTGGGTGATGTTAGGATCTACGATTTGTGGTTCTCGTCTTCCTGCTTGCCATTCCCAGGTTTGTCTGGGAGTCCTCAAGCGCTTGTCCCTTTCCTTCTCGCTGATGTCCTCCGTTGTCGCTTGGGTTCTTGCCAATGTCCTTCCACTGTCGCGCGCGTCAGGTGGGGTCGGAGGTGGTGCTTGAGTGGGCTTTAACTTACCGTAGGTGTTCTTGGGAGTTTTCGGAACTTGCACGATGTGGGGATGCGTTGCATAAGAGTTTTTACCGGTTCCTGCTGCCTGTCCAGCCGTGTCTCTCCTCTCGTTGGCCGAATTCTCTCGACCACGCTCCCTTGCTATCATTGCTCCATTCCTGCTCCGTCCTCTTCCTGAATCCTCTAGTCGTGCTTCGCGCTGTTTGTTTGATTGTTCCTCCTCTCCTTGTCCCCCTCTCTCCTCTCTCTCTTCCCCCCTGTCTTCTCCTTCTTCGTGTGGCCACGCCCGTAGGCGTGGCATCGTGGGGCTTCTCGCCCTCTCGTCACTTTCCCGCGCAGAATCGCATGTTCGAAAAAGGAGAAAAAGGCGCGGCGGTTTCGCGCCCGACTTTGCGTCGTGCGTGCCCTTCCAAAATAGTGCATGCTCTCACAGGTGCGGCGCAGTCGCGCAACCCACTGCTGTGCTCTTCGAATATTGCTCCCTGCTACTATTAATCTATTATATTACTACTAAGTAAATTACCACACCTCAGATTTATTTTTACAGGAGTCCGCACAGTTCCCACAAAAGAAAGCTTCAAGGAGTGCTCCTAAGGACAACTTTACTGCAAACACACGTACACACATATGCACATGCAGCACATCAATCATTTACTACTCATGTTCTCCTCCGCTCTCTAGCGCAACCCGGGGAAAGATAATTCTCACTTACATAATTCAGGATCTGCATGGAGAATGGATTCAACGTCCTCGTGAGAGTTGGAGCAGGATAGCTGACAGCTGAATTGTCAACGATTCAAACATATGCAAAACAGAAGAAGAAACATAACTGTCAAACTGTTAATCCCCCTATCCCCTATTAAGCACATGACCCAAATGACTGTGTAAGAGGTCGTGCTACATTCTCCTAAACATGCCAGTTGACGTCTTTTTTTTTTGGGGGGGGGGGGCATGGTGTCCCCCCCACCCACCAAGAACCACCGGCACCTTTCAGAGTGAAAGGCTTCCCGAAAAAGAAAATTATATATTGTCACATAACTATGAACTAAAAGAGACCACCGCCACTTTTCGTGCAGTGCGCTCTTTTAGTTCATAGTTATGTGACAATATATATAACATATACAGTATTCTTCAGAGGCTGGGCTCCACCGGACCAAGATGGCTGGAAGCACCAGCCAAAACAAAATAAAACTGGTCCCGCTGGCGCTTCTGTCAGGCTTGGCGCGCAGCTCTACTCCACCTCGGCAAACAGAGGCTCAGAAACAAACGATGTCAAAACATCAATTTACAAGGCCACTGATCCAGCATCCATGCCTCATTCTAAGCCTGTAAACCACCAGTGCTTCCGAAAGTCGTGCAAGCATGCGTGCCACGACATGCTGGGATGAAGGGGCCTGGGGTGCTGGCATAGATTCATTCATGTCGGAAGGTCAGAGATTACTCGTCTGACACGGCAATGAGTTTACCACTTTTCATCAGCGAACAACCGAACCCTTGGAACCTCGACCTTCCACCATTACTGATGGAGTAAGACTATGTAGCAATGGCTGGAAGCATGCAAGCTGTGACTTCCGGAACTACTGGTGGTTAAATTTTCGCTGTGTGCATGGCCGTCCAATTTTGTTTTTATTGGTGATGTGAACAGGAAATTCCAGGAGGGCCATCCGAAGAGGCTTCAGAGGGCCGGTAGCCCCTTGCTGCCCACTGGCCCTACGACTTTTTTTTTCTGGGTGGAGCACCTAAGGGCATGCTGCTGAAAGGGTTCTTGGAGGGGCTGGAAGCTGTCTCTGCCAAGGTACCAGAGGGACTTGAACTGATGATCTTCTACATGCCTTCAGCATTCAGTGGACAGTTGCTTTTTTCGAGCTGTAGCTCTATTGACCATTCACTGGCATTCAGTGAAAAACTGGGCATGGATGTGGGCCACACATAGGAAGGCTGAAGTTAATGCCCCCTGACGCTTTGGGACACCCGATCTGCATAGCGCTTGTTGGTGGCTTCTCCGGCTGATCAACATGCAATCTGGACAATTAATATGGCAACACGCACATCCACGAGTCTGTGCTGACTGTTCTGTATAATCATCAGCATGACATGGACATTGTACCACCCCACGACGATGGATAGAGCAGAGACTATGTTGGTTCAGTCTGTGCTGACTGTTCTGTAGAATCATCAGCATGACATGGATGTACCACCCCACGGCGGCGGATAGAGCAGAGACTATGTTGGTTCCATCCCGGGAAATGTCGAGGATTTTATAATTTACTATTTACTATTTAGTGATATATACTATTGCCTGCTTCGCACACACTGGTCATACTCACACAACATTATTGGCCACGTTTTCCAAAGTTTTATATCGTATGGGATTATTGAAAGTGCACACAGCGTTATGCATGGTGATGCTGCGGGAGAACGCTGAAAATATTGAAAAGTTGAAAACCAACAAAACGAGAATGGACGACAGTGCTCTGCCCTTCTGGGAAGACCCGCAATCCTGGTGAAACCATTTCATCACGTCAAACGGAAAATTGAACTGACTATTCTTCCCGTTTTGCTGTTTCCTATCGAATCCTTAACTGCCTCTTCTTGTTGCTCATACCAAAATCAGAACTGGTTTTGTCACCAGGCCTGCCGACGTGTCGAAAATCTTTAAATCTTTCATCGGCTCTGCTTTTTATTTTGTGACACCACAAATAGCCTTCACACCGTGCCTCTACCCTCTTTTTAGTTTTGCAACTCCTTTGGACCAGTCTGTAACACGTTCCTAGCCTTTCTTCCATCTCCCCAACATCTAATGCAAACAAGAACCTATGAAGACGAGGAGCTGCCCGCAGAACAGACATCTACAGACTCATGGTTGACCTAACCCCATTCTAGGAGTTCTGGCTAGCCAAAGCACTGCTGAATAATTCGGAACACAATGAATACTAGACTTCACATAAGATTCCCATGGAGACTGAGAAGGGAACCACGGGAAGAAAGAGAGAGCATAAAAGATCTAGGCAGAGCTCTAAGAGGGGCTATGCAACGGGAACGGTGGACAGAAGAAACAGAGCAACACTTCAGAGGGGTAGTAGGCATGCTCACAGACTGAGGTGAGTGTTCAACCAGGGGGTAGGGATATGATTAGAGTGAATGTAAAGTCGAGAGATAAGGAGCCGCATACAGAGAACAGGGGTTGAACCACATAATGGGGAGTTAGCTGCAGTTTGTCCCCTGGCCTTCTGAATCCTGGAATATCTGCCATTGGGTCCGCTTTTTATCTTGTGACACCACAGATAGCCTTCACACCATGCCTCTACCTCCTTTCAGCTTTTAACACTCCGTTAGACCAGTTTGTACCATGTTCTTCACTCTCTTCCCTCTCCCCCAACATCTAGTGTAAACAAGAATGTACGGAGACAGAGGAGCTGCCAGCGAAAGAAACATCGCAGTATGTCACTTCTCTCTCTCTCTCTCTCTCTCTCTCTCTCTCTCTCTCTCTCTCTCTCTCTC